CAACTCTAAACAGAAGTGATACAAATTTTACATGCCAACTCTAAACAGAATTGATACAAATTTTACATGCCAACTCTAAACAGAATTGATACAAATTTTACATGCCAACTCTAAACAGAATTGATACAAATTTTACATGTATATGTATGTGTATCTTTATAGAATTTTAGTTAGGTTTCACATAGGAAGACTATTCAGTTATGTTGGTGGATACTGGCAATGCCAATATAGTATGGTTTCCTAGTTATTTTAATTATATTTTAAACATAATTTAAAATTAATTGAGAATTTGTCACTATGTTTTTTCATTTAATCTTGTAAACATATTTGATAAAGTAAATTTAAAACCTTGTTCATTTTAGTTTATCATTAGTTTCACATTTCATCTCATTCCTGATTGTGGTCACCATAGCTGATGAAACTGTAAGACATTTCATATAATTAATCTTACACTTTGTTTTTTTTAGATGGGGCTAAAACACTGCGAAAGTTGCTAAGTTTTGCTGTTGGTGGATTGTTGGGTGATATATTTCTTCATCTACTCCCAGAAGCATGGAATAACTTGCATAAAGGTAATTGTTGCATTAGTTTTTAAAACACTTCTGAATGAATTAGTTACAGAAATGTTATAACTTGAAATATTTGGTATTATAACCTAGTAAATATTAACTAATAATAACGTTTGATCAAATGTATAGAGAAATATCAGAAATGTTATGACTAGACATATTTGGTAGAATAACCTAATAAATACTAACTAATAATAACGTTTGATCAGATGTATAGAGAAATATCAGAAATGTTATGACTTGAAATATTTGGTAGAATAACCTAATAAATACTAACTAATAATAACGTTTGATCAGATGTATAGAGAAATATCAGAAATGTTATGACTTGAAATATTTGGTAGTATAACCTGATAAATACTAACTAATAATAACGTTTGATTAGATGTATAGAGAAATATCAGAAATGTTTTGACCTGGAATATTGGGTAGAATAACCTAATAAATACTAACTAATAATAACTTCTGATTATTGTGTCAAAAAGCTTTTATTTGAACCTAGTTTGAAAGAAGTAAACTGTTATTGCAAGTTAAGTAAGAAACTACATTCTGAACTAACTGTTTTAAATTGTGGCCATAGAATGTATCTGTGGATAAGTAGGGTCTCTTTTATGCTGAGACTACATTCAGTGTCAGCCTTAGTTAAGATCTTAAAGTAATTTAGATTATATCACATTCACCTAAGACATGTTCTAATAAGTTCTATCTGATAGGTTTATTCACATGAATCTGTAGTCATCTGGTGGTATAAACAGTATAGCTTTAATTTATTAATTATTTTATTGATGAGCAATAATAATAATCTTCGAAAGTGATATCGCATGCTAGGAACATCATCCTAATTTTAGAACGTATTTCAACCGTACCTAAGCTATATAAACAAGTCTATGTAGTTGTTTTCTAACTAATTTTAAAATGTATTTCAATGGTACCTAAACTATATAAACAGTATATATAGTTGTGTTCTAATTATAGAATGTATTTCAACTGAACCTAAACTATATAAACAAGTCTATATAGTTGTGTTCTAATTATAGAATGTATTTCAACTGAACCTAAACTATATAAACAAGTCTATATAGTTGTGTTCTAATTATAGAATGCATTTCAACCGTACCTAAGCTATATAAACAAGTCTATATAGTTGTGTTCTAATTATAGAATGTATTTCAACCGTACCAAGCTATATAAACAAGTCTATATAGTTGTGTTCTAATTATAGAATGTATTTCAACCGTACCTAAGCTATATAAACAAGTCTATATAGTTGTTTTATAACTAATTTTAAAATGTGTTTCAACCGTACTTAAGCTATATAAACAAGTCTATATAGTTGTTTTCTAACTATTTGTAGAATGTATTTCAACCATACCTAAGCTACATAAACATGTCATTATAGTTGTTTTCTAACTAATTTTAAAATGTATTTCAACCATACCTAAGCTATATAAACATGTCTATATAGTTGTTTTCTAACTAATTTTAGAATGTATTTCAACCATACATAAGCTATATAAACAAGTCTGTATCATTGTGTTCTAACATATTAAGCATGTTTACTCATACAACTCAAAGCGATAATTATTTAAAGTTTAGGAACATTATATTTAGATTGTTCAATAAAAATATTCTTGTTTTAATATCATATCAGTGAGAAAGTCATTCTTATCTGAAACTTCTTAATGTTATGAACTAATTTTCACTAAAATTCACTTATGGTTTTATATGTACAATGAATCAAGATATTTAATTAGTATTTTTATGACATGCATTACATTCATTGTTACATTATAGTAATGAACCAATGTGTCAAAAAATAGAAAGTTGCTGGATTAGGTGATGTTCTACTAAACTAAAACTAACTACTGTTATGTTATTCTGTAAATTTAAACATGTTTGGAATATTTCAAGCCTTATGGTAAAAGCATTATTTACATTCTTTTGGTGGTGTAAAAGTTTGAAAGATACCAGTTGTTTTTATGACTCGTGTTTCTATTAAAACAAAGTAAATAATTAGCTGAGGAAGAAGGTAATCTTGAACGCATAACAACATCATCTATTTGGTCCTAGATTTTATAGATAGAATAGCACCATTGAAGACAGTTAATGTGGTTCTTAAAGTTCTTATTAATCGGGCTGCAGACTAACTTGAGAAAAAATTTCAATAGATAAGCACTTATCAGAATGAACATTTTCAAACGTGTCGTAGGTGAGCGTGATGTAGTTATCCATCATTCATTGAACATGCTTGAATATGTCATGGTCAGCATGATGTAGTTATCCATCAACCAGTGAACATGCTTGAATATGTCATGGTCAGCATGATTTAATTATCCATCATTCATTGAACATACTTGAATATGTCATGGTCAGCATGATGTAGTTATCTATCAACCAGTGAACATACTTGAATATGTCATGGTCAGCATGATGTAGTTATCTATCAACCAGTGAACATACTTGAATATGTCATGGTCAGCATGATGTAGTTATCCATCATTCATTGAACATGCTTGAATATGTCATGGTCAGCATGATGTAGTTATCCATAATTCATTGAACATACTTGAATATGTCATGGTCAGCATGATGTAGTTAGCCATCATTCATTGAACATACTTGAATATGTCATGGTCAGCATGATGTAGTTGTCCATCATTTAAGTTATAAGATATCAACTAGGACCAGTTAATTAATATTAACTTCTAATCAAAGCAAGCTGCCTTTATAGATCAGAGACATGAATACAGCTGATTTAATATACTGGTTTTACATTCTTACTGATAACAATTGTAGGGCACCAGTTTCATCCACCTTTGCTGTTAAATGATATTTTTGGATCATATCCTAATAATAAGTCACGAGGTTCAGTCAACTAAGAGATTTAGGATAGACCGAAATACATATATTAAGCCTACAATACAAAATAATTCGTATGATAAAATATGTAATATTAATACTAAATTAAAATAGATATATTAAACATTCTAACCAATACTATTATTATATTTAGCTAACAATGAAAAATAATGCTTATAAAAGGTATATAATAATAATAATAATAATAAGTTAAAAGTAATTATGTTAGAATCTCCAAGGAATACTGGTAATGAGAGTAACATTAAAGAAAGTATAGGATACAACTTACACAGTGTTTGCTGTCTCTACATAGGAGTTTGATTATCTATGCCTCATTCATGTGATTCGATACTTGAGTTGAACAGTTTAAGTTAGATCAACATTTCTTTCAAAAAGTTTTTTAATTGAATAATCTAATTTAATAAGGTGAGGTTTACATATAGAGTAACAAAACTATTAAAATATTTGACCCACCCAATAGCTTTTACTGCAGCGTAACAAGAACGTAAATGTGTAACACACACACACACACACACACACACACACACACACACAGCGCTACAATGTTATGGTTGGTAGAATTGTAACCCTACACTATTGACTTTCTTAAATGTCATTGTTCCTATAGTTGTTTGTTTGTTTGTTCAGTGTTTGAACGTGCATAATCACCTTAGTTTTACTTAGCAGTTGTCATGTATCTAAGACTTGAAGAAAGGATATTAATCAGTTGATTGGGTTATACAACTAGACATAATGGTTAGGTTATATTGAGTGGTGTCACAGGCTAGGCATAGGTTAAGGTTTCACAAGTTCATGAGAGTAGCAGACCCATAACTTTGTTAGAGTTCTAAGCACCTATTTTTACTGAAAACAAAAGGGAACTGTATTTAAAGATTGTTACTGAAAGTAAAATGATTCATGATAGCTTATGTGTATTAAACTTCACGTCTTTGAAAAATTAGTAAACAGGTAAGCTGTTAGACATAGGCATACTGTTCACTTATCTTTTGAATTTTGTGAATGTTATAGCAAGGACATCATGAAGTGATGTATGTGAGACATTGACACACTGGGAGTTAGCCACCCTGCAGCAACAGTGTAATGATTTATGAGTAGGAATTTGAACCAGCTTTTCAACAATGTTGTATGGGTCTTGAACCTACAACAACATCACATCATGTGTTTGAAATATTACTCCAAATTATTTTATTAAAAGTTTAAAACTCTAAATTATTTTGTAACTGGTTGTAAAAGATTTTAAGTGATACAAACTTTGATAAAAGAGTAATTTTAAAAGGAAGTGATCATAATTATAACCAGATGTAAAATGTATATCTTCTTTGTTTCAGTTGGCCCAGATCTCCACACAGCTCACATGCATCTAGGATTTCTGGTGCTTTTAGGCCTTTTTACTTTCATCATTGTTGAAAAAATTTTTGCATTTTCTAAAGAGGTTTGTATTTATGATAGTTTATTAACAAAGTATTTGAACAAAATTTTAGCTCAGTTTAGAGCACGTCATAGGTTAAGATACACATTAGAACAATCCATATATTTAAATACACATTAGAACTATTCATTGACTGAAATACACATTAGAACTATTCATATATTTAAATACACATTAGAACAGTCCATATGTTTAAATACACATTAGAACAATCCATATGTTTAAATACACATTAGAACTATTCATAGATTGAAATACACATTAGAACAATCCATATACTTAAATACACATTAGAACTATTTGTTATGTATCTGGTCGTTTGATAATTTTCTGTAAAATTTCTTCCCGAGGAACTTCAGTGATACAAGT